ATCTCCTTTACGCCTTCCATGACCTGCAACATTTACTACATAATTAGTGTAAAGACAATTTTTTTACTTTTTTTCTTTTTTTGGTCAAGAACTCGAGAACATTATTTATGTTTACAATACCTTAATTTTTCCAAATTTAATCTGGGACAACGCTCCAACATCGAGTACAGGGGTTTTCCCGGTGGCATTTTTGAGTTCAATTGGGCCGGTTTTGGGCCGCCGCAGGCCTAATTCGTCTGTGTTTCCTAAGGTGAAATTTGCCAGCAGCAAGAGGAATTTGTCAACTAATCTCAAAGGAAACCATTTGAGAAGTGCCATTGCAATAGCAAACGTAGAAATTCCAAAAGTTTCCCTTGGTAGAATATGAACCTGAGTCACCAAAATTAGATAAATTAACCATCAATAGCCTCTAATAAATTTGGAATCCAACTACTAGAAAATTTTAAGAGAACTTGTACTGACATTGATGCAACAAACATGATTTTTTTTCTTTTTTCCCATCTTTCAACAATGTCGCGCCATGTTTGCAAAATTTTTCTGTCAAAAAATTCTGTACGTATAGCCTTGTTCCTCGGTTTTTTTCTTACTCTTTGCTAGAACTCCTAAACTATATGCGTTCCGCTCGGTTTTTTACTGCTCTTTGCGAGAACTTCCTAAACTTCTTGATAACATATAATTGACGTTAGTGAAAGTAAAAACAAGAGTGACTTCAAGAATCATTTTCCTACACCGTCCCGTGATTTACTACATTTTACATGTAATATACAGAAACAGTGAAACAAAATGCAAGATTGTACTTTAAAAGGGACTGAAATTTATTCAGAATGTACTTACAGAATTTCTGACCACCATGTGAGGGATTGCTTGGTGTCTACAGAGGTCTAAACTAACTTCCATGCCAGAATTCCCACACCCCACAACCAAAATCCTCTGGTTTTTAAGCCCAGAACCAGACTTATACACACTGGTATGCATTACAGGCCCTTGAAATTTCTCAATCCCTTGAATTTTTGGTATGACTGGCTCGGCATTTTCGCCCGTGGCAACTATTAACCACCTCGAAAGATACTGAAAATTTTGAGTTTGAATCCTCCAAAACCCACTAACACTATCAAATTCCGCTCTTTGTACAACTTGGTTGAATTTAGGCCGGATTGAAAAGTATTTAGCATATGACTCCATGTACGATACGAACTGCGGTTTAGTGGGATATTTGGGAAAATTTTCTGGGAATTTAAGCAGTGGAAGTTCACAAAATTGCTTGGGGAGGTGGAGCTTAAGACAGTTATAGCTTTTTTGTTGCCATAAAGAAGCTATGCAGTCAGTTCTTTCAAGAATAAGAGAAGGGACGCCATTTTCTTTAAGGCATGCTGCAACTGCTAGGCCAGATGGACCAGCACCTACAATGATAGGGCCATGAACCCATAGCCATTTTACTTGACTTCTACATTCTTTTTTACAAGAACCCATGTAGAAAACTGAGTAAAAAGTTAAAGATTTTTCAGATATTTTCAGTTTTTACACGCTGAACAGGTCTGTTTGTTTAACTGAGGAAGTGTGAAATGCGTCAAGTGGGAATTTAAAGAAGAATGTGAGAAGAAAGAAAACTGCTAAGGGTGGGGTAAGGGGGCGGAGGGGGGAATGGAAAATCAGACTGCGTCTAGGATACAGCGTTATGGTTCAGAAGGTTAATAGGGAGTTTTATGAGAAGTGAAAGACAGATAGAGAAATAATACTGGCGTAATGGAGGCGTGAAGGTTAAGGAAATGATTTGGTTCTCTTTCTCAAGGCGCTCTTTTTTTTTTTTTTTTTTTTTTTTTTTTTTTTT